TATCTTGCACATGCAGCCCGCTCATTGTTATTTTATTGTGTATGATTTTGCTTCTGTATTTTATTTTAAGAGGACTAGATGTATGTTGTATGTTGTGTCTGCACTGTTTGTTTTTGATAAGGCCAATTGGCTAATCAATAAAAATTGTTGTTGTTGTTGTTATAATTTTGCTTTATTGTTTTTTGTACTCATATGTTGTATGTATTTTACTGTGTTGTTATTGTGTTTTGGTTTTATTTTATTGTAATACTAGCTGTCCCCTACCGCACGTTGCTGTGGCCCAGTCTGTGTAGATGTGTTTTGTGTGTGTATATATTTGTGTATATGTGTGTTTGTGTATATATATGTGGTTTTGTGCATGCTTTGCAATGTATTTTTTGTTTTTTGGCTTTTAAGTCTCTTCTGTGTTTTTCAGTGTTTTTATGAGTGATGGTCACTCGTTGGCCTGATAGGTGTCTTGTGTCCAAATTTGGTGTCAATTCGTCCAGTGGTTTTTGAGTTATGTTAATCCCACAAACAAACATTACATTTTTATTTATATAGATAGCATCCCTACTTCTGCGGATTTTTTGGGTTGTTGTAGGTTTCTATATGGCCATGTTCTAGAGGCATTTTCTCCTGACGTTTCGCCTGCATCTATGGCAAGCATCCTCAGAGGTAGTGAGGTCTGTTGGAACTAGGAAAAATGGGTTTATATATCTGTGGAATGACCAGGGTGAGACAAAGGACTTTTATTTGCTGGGGCTAGCTGTGAATGTTTCAGCTGATCACCTTGATTTGCATTCAATGGCTTGGAAGCGCCTGGGGGGAATCTTTTGTTGAGAGTGATTTCATGTGCCTGTTTGTTTCCCCTCTGTTGTTTTGCTGCTGTAATTTTTGAGTTTTTTAATACTGGTAGCCAGATTTTGTTCATTTTCATGGTTTCTTCCTTTCTGTTGAAATTGTCCACATGCTTGTGGATTTCAATGGCTTCTTTGTGTAGTCTGACATGGTGGTTGTTGGAGTGGTCCAGCACTTCTGTGTTCTCAAATAATATGCTGTGTCCAGGTTGGTTCATCAGGTGCTCTGCTATGGCTAACTTCTCTGGTTGGAGTAGTTTGCAGTGCCTGTTGGCCTCATGTAAGCCACCCCGAGTTTCCATCGGAGAGATGGTGGCGGGGTATTAAATAAAGATTATTATTATTATTATTATTATTATTATTATTATTATTATTATTATTAATTTCGGGTTACTTCTGTATGCATGCCAAGTGTGGAACACATCTCACCACGCTAAAACAGTGGATGTGGTTCTTAATTAGACATGCCACATTATCACGGCATGTCTGTGCCCTACACCACTGGAGAAATTACATTGAGAGTCCAAAAGTGGCAGGCTCAAACCCAGAACCTTAACCAATGGCTGATACCAAATGAGAGACTCCCCCTGGGCACACAGAGGACTGGGTGACTTGGAAGGCGCTGAGCAGACTGCGCTCTGGCACCACAAGATGCAGAGCCAACCTTCAGAAATGGGGCCACAAAGTGGAATCCATGACATGCGAGTGTGGAGAACAAACCACTGACCACCTGCTGCAATGCACCCTGAGCCCTGCCACATGATGCACAAGGGAGGACCTTCTTGCAGCAACACCAGAGGCACTCCAAGGGGCCAGATACTGGGCAAAGGACATTTAATCAACTACCAAGCTTGCAAATTCTGTGTTTTGTCTGTTTGTTAAAAATTTGTTAAAAATGTAATACAATTGTCTGGTTGATACTGATACGATAATTAAATTTATTATTAGGGTTATTTTCTTTTGAGGAGTAAACCCCAGCCTTTGTGTCCCCTTGTGTGTGTGTTGCAGGTGGGCCTGTCCGTCTACGGAAACCCTCGGCACGCCCTTCTGCTCTGCATGATGGCGGGCATGTCGGCCTCGATGTACCTCTTCCGGGTCACGGTCACAGGCAGCTCTCCCAAGGTAAGCCTCGGAAGAGCGGCACACAGCCCTGAGCGTTGGAGAATTGGGAAGAATACGTACAGGAGGATTCAAGGTGGGGGTGGGGAGGAATGGAAAAGAGCCGCCTGTGCATCTTGGTGACGAGCTTGGCCTAAAATACGATCAATAAGTTTGCCCACTTGAATGGGGCGTATTTTCCAGCTTTGGAGGCATCAAGATGCAGCCTCTCTATGGGCTCTTCTGTTTCTCTGCTCCACAGTTAGGGCGGCTTCTATGATTGCAATGAAAGTTGAATTCACTTGTGATAGAAGTCCCCAGACACCCAAGAAAGGAGCGAGGAGCTTGCCTCTGGGCTCTAGCGGCCATCAGGGTGGGTTATGGGTCTGAAAGCAGCCTTGAGTCTCCTTATGGAGAGAAAAGCAGGGTGTGAACAAACAATAATAATATTGTGGGCTGCAGCGGAGGCCGAGGGAGGCGGGTACTTAAGGCAGTGCTGGTGATGGTTGTTCGAGCGGGCCTCTTTTTCTCCCTTCCTGAAGCTTTCTGAATGCCACTTGCTCACTGTTTCCTTCTCTCTTTCTCAGGACAGCAGCGACCCTTGGATTGTAGCCCTCCACCCTCTTGCTAACCTTGTGGGCTTAACAGAACACGAGGTCTCTATCCTGCTTTCCTCTCTGCTTCTGGCTTCTCCACTTGTTAGCGGCAGACCCTTGAACCTCTGTAGAAGCTAGCCCTCCCTGTCGCTCTCCTCTTCTGCTTTGTGTCCAATACATGGAGTAGTTCTAGTTGCAAACCTGCTGAAATGCCTTTGTGTTATACCTGCCGGGGAACTAGTATTGAGAGACGTCTTTCCTTAGGAATGCCATCAAACCACCAAGTGAGAGGCTCCCAAGTCTGCATGTTACCTGTGCCTGGGATTGTAACACACATATTAACATCGCCGTCATAGCAAGCTTCTCGTCATAGGAATTGTTGCTGTTTTTGTTCCTAACCTAACTAACCGTATCACCAACGAGCAAGAGACAATGGGGCTGCAGAGATAAAATAGATTGTAGTGCCGCCTGACTACGAGGCAGGTGACAAGTCATAGAATTATGGAGTGGGCCATCCAGTCCAACCCCCTTCTGCCAAGAAGCAGGACAACCACATTCAAAGCACCCCCAACAGATAGCCATCCAGCCTCTGTTTCAAAGCCTCCAAAGATGGAGCCTCCACCACACTTTGAGGAAGAGAGTTCCACTGCTAAACACCTCTCACAGTCAGAAAGTTCTTCATGTTCAGGTGGAATCTCCTAACTTTCCTGTAGCTTGAAGCCATTGCGCCATTGCGTCCTACTCTCTCTCCAGGGAAGCAGAAAGGAAGCTTGCTCCCTCCTCCCTGTGACTTCCTCTCACATATCTATACATGGCTATCATATCTCCTCTCAGCCTTCTCTTCTTCAGGCTAAACATGCCCAGCTCCTTAAGCCGCTCCTCATAGGGCTTGTTCTCCAGACCCTTGATCCTTTGAGTTGTCCTCCTCTGGACACATTCCAGCTTAGAGTCAACATCTCCCTTCAATTGCGGTGCCCAGAATGGGACCCAGTGTGATTCCAGATGTGGTCTGACCAAGGCAGAATAGAGCATGGGGAGCATGACTTCCCTGGATCTAGGCATTAGACTCCTCTTGATGCAGGACAAAATCCCATTGGCTTTTTAGCTGCCGCATCACAAGTAGATAGGAGGAGGCTGTTCCTCAGCCCAGTGTATTCCTGACTTTTCTTCCACCCTTGTTTTTCTAGGTCTGGATCCTGCTCTTAGGAGCCGTCTTTGGGTTTTGCTCTTACGGACCAATCGCGCTGTTCGGAGTCATCGCCAACGAAAGCGCGCCGTCAAACCTGTGCGGGACCTCTCACGCCATCGTCGCCTTGATGGCAAACGGTGAGTGGAGCACCAGGCTGAGGACTAAACGGGGTGGCCTTGCCGCTCCACTGCCCCTTTGACCCTTTCTTTCTCCTTGCAGTCGGGGGCTTCCTGGCCGGGCTGCCTTTCAGCACCATTGCCAAGCACTACAGCTGGGGCACGGCCTTCTGGGTGGCGGAGGTGACCTGCATGGCCAGCACCCTGGCCTTCTTCCTCCTGAGGAACATCCGCACCAAGATGGGGCGCCTGCCAAAGAAGGCTGACTGAAGTGCAACCGCGGTGGCCGTCACTTGGCTGCGGAGGAGCCTCCTGCTGCAATCATGGGATTTTACAAACATCCTGACGTCAGAGGCAGGGCTAGCCACTCATACTGCGACACCGCTTTCATCCTCTGGCCAGACGTCCATTTCCTGCTTCTAATACAACATACCGAGCCCATCATGTTTTGGACCTAACGGGTGGGCTACAAAGTGCTTTCCTCCCTTGTCCTGAGCTGCCACTTCCGGAGAGAAGCCACACAAACTGCTGCCTTTGTCTGGAACGCAGCACCAGACCCTCCTCACCAGCAAAGTGTCAAGATGTGTGTCTGCAGGACGCTTCCCTCCTTGTGTTCCAAGGCTTGAGCCGTATTTGAATTCACGTCAAATCACAGAAGAGGGAAATGTGGTGTTCTGTGACCTTCCAGTTGTAGCTATGAGAATGTGGGACATGGCTTATATAGTTCTGGAGCTGGAACTGAAGTCACATGGATGATTTCACCAGAAGTATCACTGCCTCCCCTTAATCACCTCCTTTAATAATGAGGACATAGGAGAAGTTCTAGACCAGGCCTCCAAAACATGTGGCCTTCCATGTGTTTTGGACTTCAGCTCCCAGAATTCCTGACCGCTGAACAAGCTGGAAGGAGGGGCTTTTGGGAGTTGGAGGCCCAAACACTTGGAGGGCCAAACCACGAAGACAATCATGCAGCTATGAACACCCAGACTGCCAAAATCCTTGGCTCAGGTTGCAAACTGTGACGAGTGTTCACTGACTGAAATAAAGGACAATAATGTAAACACCTCCTTCCCTCCTACAGAGTATTCCACTTGTGGCCATGCTTCCTGGATACTGAGCCAACAGATGGTATATCAACTGTTCAGAAATCAATTCCCACACCTCCATTGCAAAATGCTTCATTTCCACAAACAAGGCATAATATTCCAGTCTTAAATTAATAGTACAATATAACAGACACACATATATCATATACATCTAGAATGTACATATTTAAGAAGTTGTGCAGCCACCTTTTCTGCTCCTGAGGCGCCAGTCGGCTGCTCTCTCCTGTGGTTGAAGGCCCATCAACACAACAATGGTGGTTTCAGGCCTCCAGAACTGGGCCTTGACCTCTGTCCCAAGAGGCAGCGATTCCCAGGAAAGTCCATCAGGTGAAAGTCCAACAGAAATATCCTATAATCCTGGCCCAAAGGGTCCTGCTTTCTCTGCTACTTCAAGGGCTAATTTCAGGTTCTGGTCAAAGAGCTCGCACCTGAAATAGTCAAAGGGGAAAAGCGGGGATGGTGGCATTCATGCTCCACAAAGGTATACTGACTGGCAAGCTCCCTAGGTGCCTTCCTCCAAAATTCAGGTTGAAAATAAACTAGCTCAATGGGAGAAAACCTGGCAACACCACTAAGGTTTCCTGAAATATGAAATTCCCAGCAACATGCTGAAGTTCAAAAGCACAGTGGGAACGTGCATCACCTTCATGCCTCATTTCCACTGAGGGCCTCATCAGCCTCATTAGGGCTGCCTTCAAAGGACCGTTGGATCCATGGAGACAGAGAGAAGAGGCCGAATGTAATTATTTTTACATAATGGTTGATTCTCTTTACTTTTCACCCAGTTTGGGTCCTCAAGTGTTATTGAATGACAGTGCCCATCACGTTTGGTTATCTGCCATGTAAGGATAATATTTATTTATTTATTTATTTATTTACTATACTTGTAAACCGCCTTTCTCAGCCTTATTGGCGACTCAAGGTAGATTACAAGTCAGTACACATAATTACAAAATAAAAATTAAACATTAAAACAGCATAAAACCATAATAGAAACAATACAAACCAACATCTGTTGGGTTACAGTTACCAATAATGGTAATTATAACCCAACAGCCCTTGTGGCTCCAAGTTTGGGGAAAGGTTAAATGCATTTTAAAGTCAAGCATCATATCTGCAAGCTTTGGATCTAAAATCAAACCGCTCTTTCCTGACTAAACAGAACCAACTGCAGCCTTCCAGATGTTGCTGTATCCCAGCTCTCCTCATGATACCCAATAATGAGGAATACAGGAGTTGGGAGTCCAGCATCTGGAGGGCCTCATAAAAGCACATAGGTAAAGGTAAAGGTAGTCCCCTGACATTAAGTCCAGTCATGTCTGACTCTGGGGTGTGGTGCTCATTTCCATTTCTAAGCCGAAGAGCCGGCGTTGTCCGTAGACACCTCCAAGGTCATGTGGCTAGCATGACTGCATGGAGCGCCGTTACCTTCCCGCCAGAGCGGTACCTATTGATCTACTCACATTTGCATGTTTTCGAACTGCTAGGTTGGCAGAAGATAAAAGCACATGGTGGGATGGATTTGGCCTATCAGCCTTGACTTTGGCACACGTGCACTAGATTTTACATGGAATCTTAGTTATAGCCTAACAAAGCCACACACTTTAGAAATGCGTCAGTATTTCAGGAGTGATGGAGATCTAGAGCGGATTCCTACCTGATCGGCATCTCCAAAGAGTAGAAAGGGTTCTTCAGCGCAAAGTCGGAATAGATCTCGTAGATCTTGCGCAGGAGGGCATCTATCCCTGACTGCCTGGGGTCAGCAAGCACCACAAACTTGATCCCTGAAGAGACAACAGGAAGTGTTGGGACACGGCTCATGCAAAGCGATGGAAACAGTTGGACTGAAAACGTGCATGAGTTTTCCAAACAAAAAGGTAGAATATTTTGGGGAACACGGACTGCAGTATCCATACCATCAAGGCACAATATCATGGATCCTACAAGCCATGTTCCCCTTGGCTCACTAAACACAAGTGTGTCAGTTTTAGTTCAATAGAACTGAACCCACTCCTGGTTTTGTGTAGTTTAGAAACTGAGCTGCAGAATAACTTCTTTGCTATTTCATAATATGCTTCCGTCTCCAACAGTGGCAATAGAAGGCAAACAAAAAGATGGAATCACATCAGGATTGTTTCTGTTTCCACTGCCACGTTTACAGTAAATTTAGAGATGCGATCATCACTGTTCTTAATACAGATCCAGAACGGCACATGTCTAGACTGCTTATTAGCTTACTGGGAGAATACGTTTGCTGTCCAACTGGTCAAACCTGGAAGAGATCCATACAGGCGAAACTATCAATGGCCCCACTCTTCCAGGTCCAGTAATAACTCACAGTTAAGAACGATGGTGAGACAACAAGAAGTAAAAGAAGGAATATTCACTCCCGAGTTATTATCATGGAGGAAAAGGGTTTCCACTAAAGATCTCTCTCTGATCCTTGTTTCCACAAGTCATATTTCCAAAATCCAATGACCACAGGGGCAGAAAGGGAGGGGAAATCTTCTGAATGGGGAAAAGACAGCAAAGGAAACACCACAGTGGTGTTAACCCTTCCCTATGCTATCCAAAGCATGCTCGTTCGTTCTCTCTCTCTGTATGTATGTGTATATATATATATATATATATATATATATATATACACACACACACACACACACACACACACACACACACACACACACATGGCTGGAGTTGCACTTTAAAACTGTACATGTTCCAACAAATCTATATAAATAAAAATGCATTGTTTGTTTGTGGGATTAACATAACTCAAAAACCACTGGACGAAATGACACCAAATTTGGACACATTATATCGATAAGGCCAACAAGTGACCATCACTCATAAAAACACTGAAAAACACAGCAGAAGACACTTAAAAAGCCAAGAAACACTACAGCGCATGCACAAAACCACATCTTCTATATAAATAAAAATGTAATGTTCGTTTGTGGGATTAATATAACTCAAAAACCACTGGACGAAATGACACCAAATCTGGACACAATGCACCTATCAGGCCAACGAGTGACCATCACTCATAAAAACACTGAAAAGCACAGCAGATGAGACTTAAAAAGCCAAAAAACAAAAAAAGATGCATAACAACACATGCACAAAACCACATACATACACACATATATACATACATATACTCATATATACACACACAAAACACATATACACAGACTGGGCCACAGCAACGCATGGCAGGGGACAGCTAGTTCAACCTAAAAACAAACCTACAGAGCCTATCTTCCTCTTGGTTTGGGGACTGCTATATATATTGTGTGTGTATGAATGAACACATTAGAGTCTCCAGGACTGGTTGTGGGTCCCAAAACAGATGTTTTGCAAGGTGACCTATGGAGAGAGGGGCACAGAGGACTCCCCATGTTTCAGGTAGTCCACAAGCTTTCAATGGGGAAGATACCTGTCAGGGTCTGGAAGCAGTGGAGCTTGAAGGTGTCCGTCTCCAGCATCTCGATGCCCGAGCTGCCGGGCTCTGGAGAGAGCTGGGACCCGATGGCAAACAACCTGTGGAGGGAGCAAAGAAGGAGGAAGAGGGGTCGCCTCTGGCTCTGTGCGCAAATCACGGCTTTCCTCCCTCCCTATGCACTTCCATTTGACTCACGAGTGGAACATGGAGGCCAGCATGAGCTTCTCATTGGAGGAGAGGCGCGGGCGGCCAAAGCGGATGGAGACCGGGTAGTTGGCTGGGTTGGCCAGGAACTCCAGGACGTCCTTCCCATCGGCCGTGAAGCGCCCGCTCACCTCTGCCCCGTTGATGGCCAGCACTGCATGTCCCACTACAGAAGGAATGGAGACAATGGGATGTGAGACCACAGCGTGACACAGCAGCTCAAAAGTCCAACACAATTTCAGGTCGCATAAAGAACCACAGGAAGTCACAGCCCCACTCTGTTCTGCTTTGGTCAGGCCTTCCCTGGAATAATAACACTATGCAACACGATTTTTGTTCCTGGGATATCAATGTAATTTCCTAATTGGCTCTATCCAAAAAATGCAGAACATTTTATTAAACAGAAAAAACTTTGTTTTTTTAGGAAATCCTGCTCTAGCACATTTTGCTACACTTTTCTGATGAATCCCTCATCAT